GGACTCAGTGCCTAGCTTCTTGGCAGGAATGGGCAAGACTTTGGGTTCATAGACTTCCTCACTGTTTTTGTTTTAACCAGCCTGTGTACTACCTAAAAAATGAACCTATATTACTTGTATTTTATTTACTAATATTTTTTCTGCCCTTATCTTCCCATTCCCTTAATTTAATTACTATGTGTGTGTGTTTCCAATTAAGCTGCTATATGAGATAGATATAATCCTGCAGAAGCAAAGCACCTGACTGGTAGAGGTGAGCCTTTCCTTTGCATAACCTCTTTTCTCCCCAAAGGTGCTACCAATATGTTTGACTTCTGCAGGATCTTGCTCATTGTGTTTAATCTATAAACGCAGTTCTATATAGACTTTCATTTATGTAGCAACGTGTATAATTCTTATGTAGTACCAAAGAGCAGGAAATCCCCTGGAATAAGAGCTTTCCATGGGTTTACTGAAAATGTCACTAATGCTTGCAGGACAGGCTCCAGTTTATGAGAATCTCCCCAGTTCCACAATTACTGCCAATTTTGCCAAACACCACCCACTTCCCCACCTTCCTTATCATTTGGGGGACATCTTTGTTTTATTTTTAATGCTACCTGGCTTCTTTCAGAAAACAGGGAGCTATGTGAATCTTGTGGTGTTTCGATCAAAGGGCAAGAGAGGCATATCTGACCTTGTTCCCATGTGAGGCTGATCTCGATTGCAGGACAAAAAGAGGAGCCAGTTGCCCAATAGAAGTGTATATTTTGGTATCTTAAGACTACTCAGGGAATACTTTATGACTTCAGAAGATACTCAGCCACCTGCCTTTGTGACCTGACAAACCTCAGATATGTTCAATGTTAATCAGTACAAACCTGTCTCTCTTTCAAGCCAGACGTTATCTTTTTTTTCACTCCTTTAGCAACCCTACATTACCAGAGAAGATAGTATTATTAACCTGTTTTGTATCCAGGGCCGGCTCCACCATTAGGGAGAATGACACTGAGGGGCACACAAAACTGTACCATGTGGCTGACCTGCCTGCTGCCTATGGAGTTTGTCCCGGCACTAGTGTTGAAGTTAAGAATTCAGCTGGCAGTCTAGACAGCTTTTGTACCTGGAAATGGGCGAGACACTGACACATGCTTCCCTTCAGGCAGCAAAATGTCTTTAGTCAGCCCTGGTTTTCTCTCCCTTTATACCATAATCAGCAGCTTCAGAAAAGACATTTGTTCATAGCTACAACCTATTCTTACAGTGAGATGATTCTTTCAGAAATATATTACTCGTCCTGCTCTAATTATATGTCGTTATCTGCTGCACTGACAAAAGCAATAATCACCATATTTCCTGCCCTATATTTCTTTGGCCTTCTGCCTCTCGGTTGAGAAAGACACAGAGACAGAGAGAGACATTTGCTGGGAATCACAAGCAGGGAGAGTGCTGTTGGAACCATCTCCTGCTTGCGAGCTTCCCATTGGCCACTGTGAGAACAGAATGCTGATCCAAAAGGGCTCTTCATACGTCCTTAAATCTCCGGGCCTTGGTTGTGGGAAGACTTTTTATCAGGAACCGCACTGAGCAGAAACTCCCAGAGTCTTGGGTTTGTTTTTTCTACTGCCCCATTTTCCCATTGTTCCTGAGTTGTCAGTACCATTAACAAATGCCTGTGACCCAAATAATGAGATGGCAGAGCAAGCAAATAAGCAAATGTCCCGTTCTGCTCCAAACACTACAGAATGTACAGCGAGACCAGACCCTGTCTGTCTGAAGAATGCACTGGGGGAAAACCAAAACACCTGCTCTCTTTATATATTCAAAAATGTATTGTAATTATTAACCAAAAATAAATAAATAAAAATAATTTGATTTTATACAGCCTTAAGCCTCCTTTGTGTCATATGTTCTGAATTCATGCTCTATCCCAAGCATCGGATAGGAATTCCCATGTAAACTGAGGCATCAAAACAAACCCAATCATGATGCCTTCCCCCCCCCCGCCCCGCCCAAAGCCCCAGTTAAAAGCACTTTACACTATAGTGCAGGCCTGGTGCCTCTGGTTTGTTGGTAGATCTTTGGGTTCCACTAAAATACACAGATAGACAGAATTGCAACAGTAGCACAGCTGCTTTACATGCAGAAGACCCACATTCAATCCAGTCATGCCCTATTAAAAAGCTCAGCTGACAGGTAATGGGGAAGACCCCTAGCCAAGAACCTGAGGAGCTGCTGCTAATCAGAGTTAGTAACAGGCTTTGTGGGTAAATAATCTCACCTGGAATAAGGCATCTTTCCTAGGAAGGAAGGTACATACTCAATGCATGGGGCCACAATGCAGCATTGGACTGCTATAGTTTTCAGTTTAGTGCTATAGTTTTCATCCAAAGGATGTTAGAAGTGGGAGGGGGAAGCACACAAGGACATTGGAAACAGAATCAAAGGCAGCCTCTCAAAAGAGCCTGTTATGTGACCAGCAGAACAGGAAGAATCCACTTGACGGCAGAAGTCTGAAAGCGCTCAATGATTGGGAAGCCACAGTGACAAGAAGCATAGCAGGGTCCTCAAGCAAGAAATCAGGTCTTCTCACAGTTGTGGGTGTCCCACCACTTGGTGGGCAGCATATGACCCTTGTCAAGATCACATGGCTAAATCCAGACAAATGCCTTTACAAAATGAAGGCTGTTAAAACAAGGAGGGTACATTCATGGATACAAAAATGGTGGCAGCACATCAGTATGCTGTAAGCAGGGCTATTAAAATTTTAATATTGCATTTCCCCATTGTAGCTCACATGAAAACCATCTTTTTATAAAAGAGTAAAGACTGATTTTCAATATGGCATGCCAATGTAACCAATAATTACAAAAGACATCCCAGCTTCTGATTGGATGTCCTGTTTTTGGTGCCAAGCTCTTGCACGAGTCTGCAGGCTCCTGCAAGAGCTCAACTCCAAAAGATGCACATCTTTCATGTGAAAGAAGGACTCTGAGTTGGAGCCCATGGAGGGGGAGGAGGGCTGGTGGTGGTGCAGGCCAGGCCTCCCCCACTGGGCCCAAAGGTTGTGCCTCCACCCAACGACACCCCCACCAGAGGAGAAGAAACCAAGGAAGTCAAGGGTGACAACAGAAGAGGAGGAGCTGGAGGTGCCGGTACGGTGCTTGCTCTAAGAGTAGCAGCTGGTAACTGAGACAGGGGATGGGGCCCAGCTGGCTTGACACTGAAAGATGCACTTCCTGATTTTAATTGGTAGAATGCTGGAGGGTAGGATATGGCAATGGCATGACAGAATCAGGCAAACACCTCTTGCAGAAATCCTAACACAATGATGCAAGTTGGCCAGGAGTGAAATTAAACAAGGCCCCTTTTAAGGTATGTGGTTTGGACGACTTTCATTTGTCTGCTCTGAGCCAGGTGACTCACATCCGCTGACCTCACAGGAATCCTTTTGAAGAACTTCTCAGTATCTAGATGTCTTCTGTACTGTATATTAGTTCCATGTCAGTGAATGTCTGGCAAAATGCTGTGACCAAAGATTCACAGACTCTGTCACTTATATTTTAAGTTCAGTTTTTTATATCAATTGTTATTTCTAACCTCTTCTCTTCTTACAATAAAACTATAAATTGGGGGTGGGGACAGTAACAACATGGAAATGTTTCAGTGCCAGCTGAATTGTTTTAAATACAACACAGCCACCAATGTTCACATACACACAAAACACAGAAAAAGCCACGCACTCGCATACACCCCACCTGTGTATAGTATGCTAGTTTCGACACACCTCTATCTAGCCTATCCAGGCAACCAAGAGGCAGCACCAGAGTTCAAGGACACATTTCAGCCAGGTAGAAACACTCAAGGAGCGTGTGAAGCAGAGCTGGTGAGAGGTGCAGCCTGGGGGAAAGTCTAAGACTTGGAGGCTTGGAGGTCCTCATTTGGTCCCATGCTTGTTCTTCCCCACCACTGCATTTAGCCAAACTATGGCTTTTCAGGAATATGTAAACATGCAGGCTCCCACCCTCCCATCATGCAGATGATTGGACTAGAATACCCTTTGGGTCCCTTCCAGTTCTGCAATCCCATGAGTCTGTGCTTCTAAGCTGTGTTTGCTAAGCCAATGTGTAGCTTAGTGTGTTGTCTGAACCTGGACTCATGGTTAAGCTCTCTCTTCTCACTAACCATAAGCTGTAGCTAAGGTTTATACCATGTCATCCAAACCAGGCCAGAAGCTACATCTTGCCTTGAAATGGAAAGGAATATGGGCTATCAAGAACTGCAGGTGGGGAGAGTGCTGTAGCACTCAAGTCCTGCTTACATGCTTCCCATTGAGACATCTGGTTGGCCACTGTGAAAATAAGATGCTGGACTAAATGGGCCTTTGGTCTGATCCAACAGCCGTGCTCCTCTTATTTTCTTAAGACATTTGAACATAGCAGCCCTCACTCATAACTCTCTGACATCTGGTCCTCTAATCTCGCTCAATAAACAGTCACTTGAGTAAGCCAGAACTATAGACTCTGATTTGCAAGGGATATTGATTTGTTGATGTGCTTACGGTTTTGTTTTGTTTTTATATTGGAGATATAAAAAGAGATGGCCAGGAGAAGCCTCTTTGGATTTGCTGGTGGCGAAGTAGCTGCCTCTTAATTTTGAAGTTGAACCTTTGTCAGAACAAATTCTTCAAGTTCTAAAAGGTTAATTTGCTTTTCATAAACTACACATTTTTTAAAAAAATGATAACTTTATTCCTTCCTGGAAGAGTTTTGACCTTTTATTCATGTATATTTTTCAACTCCACTATTTGCTATTTCAACTCCACTATTTGCTGTTTACGCCACGAGCAAGGATGTCACAAACTGTCTTAGCAAATCGAGCAGCAAACAATGAAACATGGGGGTAAGATGAGGAGAGCAGGTTGTGAGGGGTGGAAAACAAGCTGTCTGAAGGTAACAACTCCCTTTCTTTTCCTTATAAACAGGTCTCTGATTCATTACTGGGTGCCAATAATGGGAAAGGGCTATAGCTCCACAGCAGAGCATGTGCTTTGTGTGCAGAAGGTCCTAGGTTCAATCCCCAGTGGCAAACAGTCTGTATAAGCAATACTGAGCTACATAGACCGGTAGCCAGACTCGGGGCTTATCCAGACTTAACTTTTTCCTCACTCTTTCCAGGCAGAGCTTTGCGCTTTAACGCTCTGTGTCAGAGTTGTTGTTGTTTTCCCCTCTGATTCCCCACCAAAACACACTCTTTAAAACTGAATCAGAACAAACATCGATTTGGGTTTTCTGCAGATTGACATTTGATCCAACTGAGCTTTAAAGAGTGGGTTTTCACAAGGAAAGCTTCAGGGGGCGGATGACACATGGAAGTTTAAATCACGGACTTGGCCTGGAAAGAGCAGAAGAAAGGTTAGTGTGGATAAGCCCTCAATATAAGGCACTAATGTTCCAGTTTTGCTCGATGGAGAGACATAGCATGCCAACAGCACACTAGAACTGAATTGCCCTGTAGAACCTTTTCAAGATCCCTTTTTCTTGCATTCTGAAGGCTGATTCATTAGAACAGTTAATAAATTCTTTCCTCCAATTTGCAAACTGAAGGAGAACATTTTACCAATTCTGGGGAGCAGGAAATCCATGTACAGTATTTGCCTTAGTATCAATGTGTTTTGGTGTAACTATGTTTGGCAGCTTATGTGACTCTCTATAGATCTGCCATGTTAACTTGGTGCCCTCTGGACTACAACTCCCAGCAGCCCCAGCTTGTTCTCTCCCATAATGGTCATATGCAGAACAGAGCAACTGAAATGAAAGGACATGACCAATTTAGGTCTCTTCATTTCAATGGGCCTACTCTGAGTACACAACCCTCCAGGGTGCATGGAGTGCTAGTTGAGGGGGTAGCACCTCTGGTGGCGACATGTCATGCTTCTTCTGGGGCAGTTTGTCCACATTTGGCCCCCACTCCGCAATCAGTTCTCACCTGTGACTCCTAGATGGGCTACCTCCCCAAGTTGATGAGCCCAACCTGCCCCATACAACACAAGCCTAAACTGCCTTCTTGACTGTTAGAACCCCTATTGGCCTTGTCTACTCAATCTGCCGGAGCCTGTCTTTGCATAAAGGGGAAGTCCCTAACTCACCAAGTGTTTGCGATCCATTGGCTACCCTCACCTGCTTTAGCCAGCCAGTTGAAGCCTTTATATGATCCACAGAATGGAGCAACTCTATGCTGAAATGTAGCAGCATATGGGTCTTATTAGTTTCAAGAAAAACCAAGTAGGTTCCTAAAAGTATGCATGGCGTGGCATATTATGGAGACAGTTGGTAGAGAGGTGTTTTCTTCATGGAATCATAGAATTATAGAGCTGGATGGGACCCCAAGGATCATCTAGTTCAACCCCCTGAAGGAGTGCCATTGGCAGGATCCCTAGCAGGGTAACCTGCAGAAGGCCCCAAAATGGAGCATTCCAGGGTGGATGGAGCCATCTTGCAGTGGCATCAGACCCAGTCCAGGCCCACTCACTGTTCCAGTTCCAGGCTTAGTGTGGCAATTGCCCTGTCTCATCCCCATTTCCACCCCATCTATTGTGAGTTCAAGGTTGCAGGTGCAGCAGTTGCCCTGCTCCATAAAGCCCTAGCAGATTTGGATTGTGCTCTGAGTGTGCCGCTCAAGCCCATGATAAAACATTCCAAAGTCCATATTGGGGCAATGCCTTTACTAGGGCAACCAAAATTTCATGAAACAGTGTGCAAGCTTTCAGGTTCATTAGAACTCTTCATCAGGCCTCCATCAGATTCTAGAGAACTTGAACACTTGCACACTATTTGGCATTTTGGTTGCCCTAAGAAAGCAAAAATAATAATAACAAATGTCATTCCATTACCCACTTAAAAAACGGAACAAAAACAATACATTGGTCCTTAGCAGGTTGGTTGCCCCCAATTTAAACTGGGTTACACCAAAGACAGCAACTTTATTTCCTTTTCTATCTCTGTGTTTAAAGGAAAGCAGGGGGGCTGTGGGTCCCTCATCTAAAAAGATGGAAGTTGATTCGGCTACTTTTCCAACAGTCTCTGCTATCCTGGTTCTCATGCTGACATGAAGGTTGCAGGAAGCCTTAGAGTAAGCCATTGTAGCAAGTGTCATTTCAATATCAGCTTCTAAACTTGAAACTGATTAACTTCAGCCCTGCTTTTGAATGAGAAATGAAATTTATTCTGCCACAAACAGCTCCAGCTGAGGCAGCTAAGCTGAATGTGAAGAAATAAAAGTCCTCTTTAAACATATTGAATCAAACATCTCAACAGAGGCAGAATTTCATGAAATTTCATTAGCTGGTGAGTTCCTAAATCACAGAAAAAGTAGGGAAGGAAAGTCAAATTTAGGCTAAGCAAAGCCAGGGTGGTAAAAAGTATCTATAATACCGGTATGTTGTGTCAGTAAATGATCTATTTTATCAGCAGCAATGAATGAAGCCTATAGAAGTGGAAGTTATTTGCTATTAAAACACCAAAGAAAATAAGTTTGCTATACCAGATAAACTTCAATTTAAAGACACAAAAAGCATTGGGTCCTATAAAAACTCATAATGCATCCCTGCATTAGCTAAGAATATCAGCTGTGAGCTGGGAAATCCTGCATTTGAATCTCACTGCAGCAGTGGTTACCAAACTTGGCCCTCCAGCTGTTTTGGGAATACAATTCCCATCATCCCTGACAACTGGTCCTGTTAGCTAGGACTTGTAGTCCAGCAACAACTGGAGGGCCAAGTCTGGCCACCACTGCACTACAGAATATGTATAAAAATATGTATATAAGTAGGGAACTGCAAGGAAATTTTGCAGTTGAGGCTTAAGAGTAGTGCTCCTATTCAAGACTTCATTTCTACCAGCAAGGGAACATGCTTCCCCATGAAGCAATGATGACCACAATCATAGAACTGTAGAGATAGAAGAAGGCTCTGAGGGTCATCTAGTCCAACCCCCTGCAATCCAAAGACGATTAGACAAATTCATGGAGGAGAGGGTTACTGATGGCTACTAGCCCTGACAGCTATGCTGTACCTCCACAGTTGGAAGCAGCAATGCTTCTGAACACTAGTTGCTGGAAACTGTGCTCAACTCAACTTGTGCTCAACTCTTGCGTGTTTCTGAGTTGTGGCGCCCGCCATGTGGAACGTCCTCCCATCAGATGTCAAGGAAATAAAAAACTACCTGACTTTTAGAAGACATCTGAAGGCAGCCCTGTTTAGGGAAGTTTTTAATGTCTGGTGTCTTATTGTATTTTCAATATTTTGTTGGAAGCTGCCCAGAGTGGCTGGGGAAACCCACAGGACGAACAGTTATGTGCTAGTGGTAGTCTGGTCCCACCAACAGTCAAAACCAGGGTTTCCTAAACTTGGGTCTCCAGCTGGTTTTGGACTACAATTCCCATCATCCTTGACCACTGGTCCTTCTAGCTAGGGATGATGGGAGTCATAGTCCAAAACAGCTGGAGATCCAAGTTTGGGAAACCCAAGTCTAGGCACAGCATTATGTCACAGCTGGAGTTTCTGGACCAGCCCAGCGGCGACAAAATACAACCTCATTGCAATGATTCAGTCTTGAGGTTAGCAATAAGGCAACTACTATGTTCCTAATTCTGGTATACTAAGCTCTTGCCACATAGTTGAGTCTTCAAAATAGAGAGTGGAAGGGCTACTTATGTATGCCCAGCAAGGCCTTAATGTGGCTTAAGGATGTCTTTAGGTCAGACCATGCTGCAAATGTGGAGAGGTCAAGTGGTCATTGATGCCTAACACCTTGACAGGCTATAAGCCTCTGTGTTTATTTCACACACACACACACACACACACACACACACACACACACACCCCTGCATTATTACATTCATATCCCATATTTTCTCCAAGTGAGATCCAGGAAGCATGCAAGGGTTCTCCCCCTCTCCATTATACCTTCACAGCAACCCTGTGAGGTAAGTTAGGTTGAAAGTGGGTGACAGAGCTCAAAGTTTCCCAGTAAGCTTCATGTATGAGTGGGGTATTGAACCCTGGTCTCCTAGGTCCTCATCCAGCACTCTGTCACACCACACTGTCTCTTAGGTTGCATGGCAGTGTGTAGCATCTTAGCAGAATGCTGTGGAACATCTTCAGTCTCTGGCAATTAAAAGTTCCATTTCTAATGGTCCTTTACAAGATCCACAATCTGTTTCACATGCTGTGAAATTCATCAGGATTTGTGGCTGGTGTGTTTGCACAACTTGTACCCTAAAGTCTCAAACCTGTATTTTAATCAGGTATCTTAATCCAAGGGGGAAAGCCAAAGCTCAGTGGTAGGGCCTCTTCTCTGTATGCAGAAGGTCCCAGGTTCAGTCCCCAAAATTTTCAGGTAGAGCTGGAAAAAGTTCCTACCTGAAAGCCTGGATGGTCACACACCTCTGACCCTTGGCCTTTTCACTACCAGCCAGGTCAGGGAGAGACCTACCATTTGGTCTCTTTCACAAAGCCACTTCCTTTGCTACTCTAACAACCCATACTTAGGGACCATTAACTGTCTGGTGTCTTATTGTATTTTCAATATTTTGTTGGAAGCTGCCCAGAGTGGCTGGGGAAACCCAGCCAGATGAGCGGGGTATAAATAATGTTGTTGTTGGCATCTGGTTGGCCACTGTGAGAACAGAATGCTGGACTAAATGAGCAATTGGCTTGATACAGCAGGTTTTTCTTAGGTTCCTAAAGATGATTCCACTGAGGCATGATGTCAGTGAAATGAATAATTCATCAACACAGGAAATAAGACCTCTTGCAACTGGCATCCCATGATGGAAACTTCCCCAACATACTGGATGTTAATCTAGGACTATAGCAGAACATTGACACTCATTTATCTTATACCTTATCTGAGCATGCAGGCCTAAACATTGTATAATATGCTAAATATATTAATATGAGATCTTGGGTGGCCGTCTGTCATGGGTTTTTTAGTTGTGATTCTTGCATTGCAGGCTGGGTTGGAAACAAGTCTCCATCCATGGGCAGAAATGAATATGTAAGGGGTTCTAAATGACTTGAAAAGAAAATGA